TTTCTTAAAAATAGATAATTGAAAAAGATCCAATGGAACCCAACAAAAAACCAAATGATAAGGATTTATCGCTTGTAGAGATAGGACCACGATTTGTTCTTAATGTTATTAGAATATTTGAAGGCAGTTTTAGTGGAGCCACTATATTTGCAAATCCAGAATTTGTTTCACCTAATCAGGTATACAATTTTTTTTTTTGTAGAAAGTTAATATGAATGACACCATTTCTGAATATGCATTTCGACATTATAGATTCGACGCGATTATCGTATGGCTAAAGCAGCACGACATCAAGCTAGAGTTGTGGCAAAAGAAGAAAAACGACGAAAAGTAGCGGAGAGCAATTTACCAGAAGATTCACTTAGTGAATTTTCTCTTTCAGACTGTTAATTATTTATTTGCTGATTGGCTAAATCATATCCTCTGATCCCGTGATCATTTAGTCTACATATATAGTTCTTAAAACAGGTCACTCGAATGAACGAATGAACGAATTATTCAAGCATACAATAAATTAATAAGAATGTTTTACTTGATATATGCTAATATACTTGACCCTGTTCATCTTTTACAAGTACACCAACTTTCCAGCATATATATATATATTGATTAACAGATTTATGCACACACTAAAGTATATCGTAGCCATTGTTTCTTTGATTTGACAACTCGTTTTTGAAAGTCTTATTTCAACCAATAATGTTGATTCTCGATCAGATGTTTATTTTTTTAAGATTGAGATCCTTAAGGTCCTTAAGTTTTTAAGATCTGTTTCTTTTACTTTTCCAAAAAAAAAAAAATAAAAAAAAAGGAAAATCCGAGTTTTAAACGTAATTGAGGGTACACATTTCAATTACTAAATTGCTATACACGTGTATATTCTTGTTAAGAATATGTATTTTATAAGGTTGAAGATCGATTCTTTAGATTCATATTTGTTTTGGTAATCTAATCATCATCATGCACCTAATGATGAATGCTATTGAAGTAATTAAAATGAACATCTGATCATTATGAGCAATGCATCTTTGATGTCATCATTGTCTTTGATACCATCTTTGATTAACGGATGTGATCACATGATAATGATTACTGTATGATCATATCATCCAGCATTAAGGATTTATTTAATGCGTTCACCTTAATTTAGAAGTATTACTATAATTGGTTCATAATTCAGGCAAAATCCCGCACTGGACAGAGCAAGCGGTAATAAATTTTAGGAAGCATGCTGGTTAAGATGATATAACAATTATTCAACTATCTTTACAAGATGAGAAAAAGAACCAATAACAAATTAACGAAAAGATGTCACGAACAAGAGTAACATGCTGGATCAGTGAGTGAAAAAGAATATGTAGACTATGTAAATTAAAATAACGCACTTAACCACGCAATTAAAGTACAACACGCATTTATATTTACTTGAGTAATTAAAATAACGTACGTACATAGCCAACATACCAGATACGTAAACCAAATTAGCAAACACATTAGAAGAGAAATTGGGAAACCTATAAATAATTATGCACATTCGGATCCGTCCGCATAATGTAAAGCAGTGAC